AATAAATAAATAAATAAATAAATAAATAAATAAATAAATAAATAAATGCAAAAGCAAACTAATATATTTCAAAAGGGGAAATATAAGCAAAAATTTCCTTTTAATTTTAAGCAAGATGGTTGATTTGTTATGACTTGTTTGATCTTATTCATAAATTGTTGTCTGTTTTACTACTGTATTTGCTGTAGCAATAGATTAAATGTCTAAAAACACCATCAATAGAGTAAATTATGTCATAGTGCTCAAACATTAGACTAATATATCTTATATTATCATATTATCTCCATCTTTTCCATTTTAAACGATTTTTTATTTCCTATTCTGTTTATTTCACAGAAACACAAAATGCATCTGCATTTACTGAGGGACAATTTTCTTTTTATTTCGGTATTAAATTGTACAGATAACACTGATACTGACAATGCTGATGTGAAATTTTTTTATCTGAAGACCCCACTAGCCTTTCATAGAAAATGTTTCGTTACACGAATTAAGTGTTATCTTTTATCTTGACAACTGACATCATACAGCCTCATTTGACTTTCTCTCCTGGAGTTGTTGGTTAATTTCCTTATCTTTTACTTTCTAAACATATTGGTTTTCATCCATAAATTCACACATTTTCAGTCCTCCCAGTGAGCACGAAGCAGGTGCACCAGTCCACAAAAAGACAAACAACTCCTCAGGTCAATTTTTAATTGAGTGGAGGAGGTCAGGTACTTGAAAATAACTCAAATAGGCAAACAGAAAGGCCTCATCAAGTGATCCAAACCATTAATATCTTTGCAATTTAGTAATGATAGAAAACCATTTGATATTATTTTACATTTATTCAGTAAAATATTGTTCAGCCTCATGATAGCCTACAACTACTGCTCATAAAAGCTTTCACAAGCCATTCAGGGCTAGGAGAATGAGTAGCACCTTGAAATTCAAGCTAAAGTCTGTCTCTCTTTTACCTTTCATTTTTGACAGTCAAGGAAAAAGGATTCTAAATCTCAATAGCTTTTGTTTCTTGGATACAGGCCAGATTAATTATTAAAATTGCAGCATATAGGAATAAATTCCTCATTTTTTTCAACTCTTCTCCATTTCATATCATATAGAGAGGACCCAGACTGTTTTTCCTCTGACTCAGACTGTTTTTGGTAATTTTGCTGACAATCAACAGTCAGGACTATTAACTCAAACATCAGTGGGCTGACATTAATGCATTTCTCTAGTTCCTTTTTGCAACAACGTACAAATTACCACAACCATTTTGCGCAATTGATTTACGTCCCATTGCAGTTTCAGTGGCAATCTCCAACTTATTTCCCTTGTTTAAATTGTTTTATTTCCTGTGCAGAATAGGGCAGACATCTTCAATGGCACGTTTTGTAGCCACTGGTTTCTTATATCCGTTTTGTGTCATTTTATAGGCAGTATTGCAAACTACTTTTCAATCCAAAACTTTATACATGTCATTCATCCCGTTTATTGACATTTTAAGTGGCACCCATAATCCTCATATTCTCTTTCTTTTTCCTTTGGTTCCAGATTTCTAAATCCAGCAACTCTCTTTTTGTTGACAAAACTTATTTCTGTCCACCTCAAAACATTAATTTGTTTACCCATGGAGGATACTTTATAATGCAGTGCTGCCTTATTAGCTCTAAAAGCACACACGCTGTGTTTTCTATAAATTTTAATTTATTTAGTTTCTTTCAATAATAAGTAGACTTGTTTTATACATAATTGTGATTAAGTACTGTATTAAATATTCGACACTGCACTGCAACTTTCTGACATTTAATTTAAGTCAGAAGCTATAAAACTCAATGCATGTGATTTAAAGTTTGTATTTCTATAATTATTTGATGGTATTATAAATGTTTTGAATGTCCCCTGAAAGGCAAAGCGGAATCTCAATTAAATAAAGTGAAATAAAAAAGATTTAGAGTTTCTGTTACCATTTCAGGTTTGGTTCAAGAACATCCATTTTCTCATACTTGTTTTATTTAGTAACAGGTTGGCCTTGTGAGTTAAAATTGTAGTTCGTAAACTTCCGTGACAATGGGTAGTATGTGCTGAAATAGCCTTAAGCATCTCTGAGTCATCTTCCATTTCTGTGCTGTTGTTTGTCTTCTTCCCTCACCAGGAATAAGAACTCTACACTGGATGGATACAGAATCAGAAATATGACTGTTCATATGATGTTTTACTGTTGGTCAGCAGACCAAGGAAAGCAAACTGAAGCTTTTGTGATACTTTTAAGTGGAGCTGATGTTAGCTGAGGTTAGGGTTTCCCAACAGGCATCTGGAATTCACAAAGCTAACGGAAAGCAAATGAAAATAAAAATGAATTACAATACATCAGATAAAGCAAAATATCAGTTTGAATAATATTTTTAACCTGATAAAACAATGTGTTTTGTTAATGCTCCTGCAAACATACTGTATGAATTATGCAGATCACAGAAGATTCTGTTGGATCAAAGTACAAAGTCCTCTGATTCTTATGTGCTTTTGATTTTCCAGTCTCTTGGCTCTCCTCACATGCTGTCCCGCCCGGTGACCTGGGTGAAGATGGGAGGCATGGTGCAACTGAACAAGAAATACTTGCAGACGGATTACAAGGGAGTCAGCACTGATGACATCGTCTTCACCATTCTTGCCTCAGATGGGGAACCTAAATATGGTACAAACCCAAACTTCAAATGTCTTTCAATGTGATAGCATGCTGTTTTATGGATTCATTGCTGGTTGATATTCAGTTTCTAATTCATAGTCAGTACGTTATAGAATGGGAGATAATATTTCTAACAGGCATTATAGCTAACAGAACATGTGATCACCTCAAACCGGTGTGTTCAGGTGAGGTGGTGCTGGTGTCCATGCCAGCTGACAGCCCACCAGAAGGCTGGAATCCCTCCCTAATCAACGACCAAGCCTTCACCCCCACGACTACTTTCACCCAGCAGGATGTGAATGATGGCACAGTCTGGTACCACCACTTTGGCAGGGGTAGCCACAGCGACTCCTTCCAGTTCCAGGTCAGAGCTAATTCTGTCTGTCTTTAGCTGTGTAAAACTGCATATACCAAAGCACCGATTGAAGCTTTTTGCTTTTTGTAAGAGGTCCCTCTCTGATGATAAAGATTACTTTGACACATCAAGGCGTGGATTAAAATCAAAGCCATTTCATCTCTCTGTGTTACAATCAAAGACACTTTCTTTCTGCAGCACATCAATCAACCAGACTGCACTTATATGTTATTGAATATTGTGAAGTTCAAACTTTAAAACATATCTCTACTGAATATGTAAAATACTTTACTTAGAACTGACAACCTCCCACAAAGATCAGAAGCCAGACTGGTTTGGCTTTCAAGTGAACGACACCAATGTGTGCTGCCCAATGGGGCTTCACTTTAGGTTTTTTAGGGTTTGTTGGGTTAAAATGCTTCAATTGTATTTCCAGATCCTGTGGTTATCTAAGATTATACATATAATTTAACTTGCGGTACCACTAATTGCTGAATCAGATGAATATTTGGATAATCTCATAGCTTTATTAACATTCTAAGCTGCTATCACTATGCCTGAACCTTTCCTTGGCATGTTTTTAGATTTCACAATAGAAATTAAGTCCTGCTGTAGCTAAAGCCATATGGCACAGAATACTTCTGCACTGGTTCTTCAATATACTCATTCAAGTATCTTTTCGATGCTTTACTGTCCAATCACATTTAAAAATATATATGTTTACAAATTAATGATAAAAATATACTAGAGAATAAGAAACCTCTAGGCAATAAAGGAGAGGAAGAGGGTGACAGTTCAAATTTGTTTTCACTCATCTTTTTATCTCTGTGGTGCGTTCTGTGAAGTTCAGTCATACTTGTGTTTACTTTCACACTCCTGGAATATCTGACCTTTTCAATATCTACTCCTTTCCCTCTTATGATCAAGTGAAACCGTGTTGTTTACAGGAAACTGTCAAAATCTCCTTCAGTCTTTGCTTTTTAATTTGAGAAGCCTGTTTCACCGAACGAGGAAGCATCTTGACCCACATGCAGAGAGTCACAGGAGACCAGAGACCTTCAACAATATTTGTTGTATGATGTTTCTGCCGTGGTGTGTGAAAGTGCGTTGTGGACATGAAAAACAATCAAGATCCAGTCTGGAGAGGCTAATCCCACGCAGTGTCAGGGGAAACAGAAGCTGGTGCTGCTGGAGGGCAGACAGGCAGAAGATGGAAGACAGAATGTGTTCCAGTTTAGAGATGACTTGGTGATCTGGTAGTTGGCTTCCCTCGTGCTGTATGCCACGAGGGAAAACACGCTTAAGTTGACACTCAGGCAAGGAATGAACCACTGTTGGATCCTTAAATGCCTCTGCTAGTGTTCATCATAAAAAGGTAGTTGTGGCTTCCAGAAAAAAGAAAAACATACATGCATGCACCTTGGAAATCATGACAATCATTCTAGAGTTTACTACGGATTAGCCCATGTTTTGACAACAGCAACAAAAATGCATCAGAGCATCTAACCAGGAGTGCATGCACAATCAATAGTCTAGTATATAAGAGGTATATAGAATTTGACAATGTCAACAGCAGGATGCTAAAATGACTTTCACTGATGTAATTTGTGCCTGACATCTGAATAAAAAGAAATCACACGCTGCTATCTTAACTTAGAGCAGTGACTGGAATTTTAAACCATTAGCTTGAATCAAACAGAAATGAATATGATTTGAATCATTATCCTACATGCTGAGAAATGGCCGATTCCTTGCACAGTTCGTGAAAACATGCTAAGAGATCTATATAAGTGAGTTATTGGATGGCAATGTGGGTTTAGATACAGGAAAATTACTGATCCTTAAATGCAGATACTTTTGTTCTCCGTGTAGTTTAAAGAGATGTCTTATCAAGTCTTATAAGATGGCATCATATTTTTTTGTACAATCGTTTGCTTTCTTTTATCCTGGAATCTTTAACTTTTCCAACAAAAGTCTGTGAGACTCTTGAAAAATGAAAAAATAAAAATGTTCTATATTTTTATTGGTAACTGCTTTATCATCCCAGACCAGGAGTTTGGTTCTAATCCCCGATGAGCACAATATGCACTGCACATAATTAAACTGTAACTCCCATATGACATCAGACCTCGAGTATCCGTGAACAGTGTCTTTAAAAAAGGTCTTAAACAAGTCCTGCCTTTAAGTTTAAATGTGCAAAAGGTACATTTTTATTGTAAGTATAGCATTTATTTAAAATGAAATCCAAAAATCATCAGAGTTTCAGCCCAGCACCATCATCTCAAATAAATCCCGTCGACTCCTGTTGACAGCACGTTTCTTGTGATTGGTCACACTGACTCCAAGTCTCACGCTGCTGTTGCATTATTTCTCACTGATAGCGAAAGTTATTGAATTTTCCTTCCCCAAAAATGCTGCAGGAGTGACAGGAACACGCTGCTACAGTGTGAGCAAATTGAGACAAAAATTGGTTTCGGAATGAACAATGAGCTTCTCCTTTTGCATGCACATCAGAGTTTTTTCTTTAAAAAGAAAAAGGATGATGAATGATACTTTTATTCAAAGGAGGACACCAGTGGAGATTAAACTAATCTAACAGCTTCTCTGGCTCTTATCAGCAATTCAATTAACACAACGTTCAGTGCTAATTTAAAGAACTCATTGCTTTAAGAGGCCTTTAAAAGTACTTGGGTCAGAAGTCAAAGTATTAGCTACAAAGACGGCTACACTGGAAGAATGCCTTTTATTCCGTTTTGACAAAGGGTAGTTATTTCTGCTCACCGTCCTCAGAAGAAAAGCAGATAACCTGACAACGACCTCTTACGCGTGAATTATCACTCTTGTAAACGGCCTGCACTTTTATAGCTGCTTTTAACCTCATTGGTTCAATAAAATGTTTTACAGTGTTTCTCTTGTCTGTCAGGACAAAGACAGAAGCAGTGCAATGCCGTTTTAGCACTGTAAAACTACCAAAGTAAACCATGGGTCAGCTAAGTGTGTGGCCAGGTTGATGGCACCTCTGACCTTTTTCTTGCCAACTGTCAGATAAGGTTTCTTTTAAAAGGAGTGGTGGGTGATCTTATCCAAACACTAGAGAGCAACTAAGCAATGCCTAAAATTCTTATTAGCTCATTTTATTGCAGTTAAGTCATTCACTATGTCACAGATGGCTACTGTGATGTGGTGTGTGGAAAACTATGTAACATTTCAGGTTTTCTGTTCTGGCAAAAGCTTACATCCTGTGCTTTAAAGAAGCTCTAAATGTTCCTGTCCTTTGTTTTATGTCCAAAAAGGTTTGTGAAAAAAAGGTGAAACCTAAAGGGAAAATGGAGACTTTGATGGAAAAAATAGACCATGTGAACGGTAAACAGGGGAGCTGCTGATTGAATAGAAAACAAGGCAAGGTTTTTCAATATTAGTTTAGTGTCTCACTTTCTGCATTGCATTGTACATGATATCTAGCTCAATGGCATTCTCAGATAGTCACATTCTGTTATTTATTAATGTAATCACACTAAAGTGTATGTCAGAGTTCCTTCCAAGGTGACAGTAGACAAACACATTCCAAAATAAATGAATTTATACAGTATATATCTACTTCCATTGTGGATTGACATACTTCTAACATGCCTTTTTGACATGGACAAATACTTTACCATCCTGTTTAAACAAGTAAAAGAAAGGAGGAGAGGAGTAAGCGATGGGTACGCTAATCTTTAACCTGCCCTAGTTTAACCCGAAGGACGCAAAGGCTCTGCCCCTCCCCACATATGTCCTTAAATTATGCACAACAAAATTAAATCTAACAGTAAATCAGGATTATCACAATATGTAATCCCATCAGGGATGTCACAAAAGACAAGAACAGCATGGGATTCTTTGCTGGAGTCGTGTTGTTGTGCATTATTTCTGATGGTTCAGTCAATTTTCCAACAGATAGCTTCAGTTTGCACGGCTCTCCACTTAAACTATGCTTGTTACAGATAGGACACAGCTAATGTATTTAACAGACAGTAAAAAAAAATTGCAATCAAGAAGTTGTTTTTTATGTTCTTCAATAAAATTCCAACTTTGAACATTGAAAAAAGTCAAATAAGAATTATAAATGGACTTCTATTATTAAAGTGATTTCCTGTAGCTGATTGTTTGACGGAAAAGAATCAGCGAAAAAAGATTTTAACCAGAGGGCAGTGAAATGTTGCTTTTTATCTCACAGTATTATTCATTGTGTAATGTCCTGTGATGTTGTTGTTTTATTTTATTCTAAACCTTTTTTGATGCTATCACAAATGGAGATGAGCTTGTTAGATCATAACACAGAATTATAAAGTATTTTTTATGAAAAGAAGCATTATTCAGTCTCTTTGGCTTATCCTGTAGCTTGATGTTGTGCTCACTCCCAGCTAAAGTTACAGTAACAGTGCCATTTTTATAATATTTGTTTAGTCCTACTGGTGAGTCGCAGGATTTTGCCATCAGCAACACCACACAAGAACCATAATACACCAAACAATATCAATCAGAGGGACATTTGTAAAGATAGCATGCATTAATTTAGGACATCAAGCTTTAAAATGAGAGTTCACACACTGACTAGAGAGCTCCATCCAATAGCAGATAAAGATTACAAAATGTCTTAGTTTATTTATCTATTTGTAGATTAGTTTTTGATTTTTTTTTTTCTGTATATCTTTGCATTTTTAGGTGTCTTCAGAAGTAACCCCACTCATTCAAAGTGATACTCAGACTTTCACAATAGGAGTCTTGCCTCAGATCCCAGGATTCCCACAGCTGGCCCCCGACTGCGACTTGCAGATTACGGTGAGGAAAAAGAAAATTGCAAACTTATTCAAGCTACATGAAAGCACTGGTTTATATACAGGGTCTGAAAACAACTTGTTATAAAATATAACATTTTTTTAAATAAAAAAAAAAAATCATTATAAATGATTATCTACACAAGAAATGCATGCAGTATGAAAAAAGAAGCCTAGTAAAACACATATTTGAGTATACTATACAATGCAGGCGATGCATAGTATCTGATTAAACATAACAAGCCTTAATTGTTTACCTTCAAATTAAAGAGTGTGTAATAGTGAATATCTCAATTGAAGGATTCAAATGAACAAATTCGTTATAAATCAGTGTAAATTTTACACATGAGTGTCTTGCACAAAAACTTTATAGACAAAGATGGCATTCCAACATTTGAATTTGATAATACTTTTTCATATCAGATTTAACTTAGTTTGCTAAACTCTCCAAGTTTCAGTTTTTAGCATAGATTACGTATGAAAAGGAATTATGGAAAATGTTTTGTGTCCCCTGTAACATCTGGTTATGGTATTTTGTTATGATGACTTGGGTTATATCGGAGTTCTAGGCTTTTTGTCAGTGTTATTTACTTGTGCTCTCAACTCAAATTATGTTTGTGTTTTTGTGTGTGCAGGCACTGGAAGATAGAGTGACAGAGATAACACCTTTAGCTCTGTCTTTTGTCGATTCTGAAACTCCAAATGAGAAGCTCATTTACAACATCACCAAACCTCTCCTGCCGGGACAAGGTCAGGCGCACACTGAAATTATCTTTCAGTCTGGGAAAAAAAATGAAATTATTCAAATGTTTCAAAGCAGATTTTCATTGTATTATATGTTAGAAGAGATGACAATGATTTTGAAACCATTGTGAGCAGTAGTGGAGGTTGTTAAATGCGAAAAAACTACTTCACTCCTCCGCCAAAAAGCTAAATTGTCAATTGCCGCACCAGATTAGATTAATGAACTAACATATTTTTATGAATGAATGTTGATTTCTTTTTTGCATCTAATGACACGGAAAAACGATTAGCAATGGATTTTATTCATCAACTAATGGACTGATGAATTTCTGTAGAAACATTCTGAACAGAGTCAATGAAGAGGAGAATGAGTTTCTATTAAACAGGAAAATCTTTCATGTTGTCATCTTCAAAACTCCAGTTTAAACTTGCTGCATCCTGGTATGGTTTTAATATGTTTTTACAAACAGGAGTATGGTGAATACTGTCTTTTAGAAAACAGTTACTTGTAAGGATTTAATGTTTTTCCTGCTGGGATCTTAGAAACCTTAATGCTCTCAAAATCCTCTTGAGAGTTAATATATTCCATCTTTCCATTCTATCAGTCTGCAATGTCTACTGTGAGTTTTGTGCGTAGGAGGTTCACTCAAACATTTCTTATAAACAGACCTGATAAGACAGTACAGTTTAACAATAAAACTCTTAAAAAGCTTTCTCACCTGAGGTAGTGTGTGGCAGCAGTTTCAAACTTTAGACAGGATATGCTAAATATATCCACTTTGATACCAATTCCTTCTTCAACATGCACAGCTGGGCAGCTGCCTTTTTACTATTCAGAAAAACAGAGAACTGTGAGTGTCTTAAAAACATATATGACAAGTGATATCCATCCGTTAGCATTTTCAACAGATGTAGTTAGTGTTATTTAGATTTTCGTCCATGTAGTTGTTGTACAGTTCTATTATTTATGGTAAGATTGTAGAGTGACTCAGTTTTACATTGTTGCTCTCGTTATTTCATAGTTCTAAAACCTTTCTAAAAACAACCCTGATTTGCTAATTACATTTACTTAGATTTATTGTTGTAGGTTTAAAAATGAATGCTCACTGGGTTTTTCCCTATGACAGCTAACCATTTACAATTCACTATTACTGTGACAATGTGGGAAATAAAAGTTATGATTGTAATTGAACTTGCAACACTCCTTTCACTAAACAATTCTTACTTTTTTTATTTAGATTAGTCAATCAGGTCTTATCGGCTCAGATGCTTCTGTGCTTCTTTACTAGTTGGGCATCTTCTAATGCTAAAAGGATTATTCCAACGGGCCTGGAGTGGCCATTTTTTATCATAAAAGACGAAGTAGCTTTCTTTTTGTGGCTTTCTTTTTTTTTGTAGAAAAAGAAAGTCACAAAAAGAAAGCTAACAGCTATACATGAATGGAAAAAACTAAGGTCTTCCAATAACAAAAAAGGAGAAATTTAGTACAGCGTACTTTAAATATACTTGAAATCCACATATCCAGAAATATTTTTTTAAGTGAGATCAGTTTTTGGAAAATCCTGATAACAGCATAAACTGTTCATAATTTTTTAAAATTAAATAAAAAAAATGTAATAAAAAAAAAGAATATTTAAATAAAACATTTATGTAAAAATACTTAGCAGTAATCTTATGTGGATATTATAATAAACAATAAAAAAATAACTAACTTTACCAGCGATTCCATGTTGTATTTGTTTGTCTTTTTAGCTTTCTTGGGCTAAAATTCCATCTCTTTCTGTGTTTGTTTTCAGGGGCCATAGAGCATCAGGACAAACCATACACAGCAGTGAAGCAATTTACTCAGGCCGACGTGAACAGCGGCAAGATCCTTTACAGACCACCACCGGCTCCATCACACCTCCAGGAACTTTACCAGTACTCCTTCACTGGTACAGTTTACACTGAAATGCTCAAATATACACACTGTTATACTCACACAACGTAGTGTGTCATAACATCAATAAACATTGATAATACATTCATTTATTGCACAGTTAAGTGATCTTTATTACCCAAATCACTGATGGGAGTTAAACTCTTCTGAGCTACTTTCAAGTGGGAATTCTGTTAAAAAAAGATTTTCTTTGATGGATATATCCATTAATTATTATTTTTATTTTTTTGTTAAGAGGGTTTTTTGGATCTTATTATCCCTTTCAGTCATCTCACCGATAACATGACTGATGAGGGAGCAGCCAGATGGTCCATTTCACAGAAACGTGTTGAAAGACAGCCATAGACACCATTTGGAACAGGGCTCTTTAAAAAATTGTTTGACCGGTGTTTGGATGAAACTTCGGTCTTTTTGAAGCAGTAAACATGCTTCAGTGTGTTCTCTGAGGCTTATGGGAACTGGAGACATCTTCAAAGGATGGGGTATTTTTTGAGAGCTTTTCAATGGTGAAATTTACTATGTAGATGGTAACCCAAAGTGATATTCAAACCTAGAGGTAGTTGCTAAAGAATAATTTATTAATTAACTTCTTTGAACTACAATTGGTCGCTATTCCTGCAAGGCCAATTATAGTGTTCAAAAAGTGTGAGCACCAAAACATAAAAGATTTTTTCTCCAGTTGTCATAGAAACCATAAAGAGCAGTATTTTTTGTCACCAGAAAATCTCAAATAATTAAGATTGATTAAGATTAAGATACAGATTGGTCCAAACTTTTGCATTTGGCTGCATGTTTTTACAAGAATCCAGCTCATCCAATGTTTCAGGACAGTTTTACACTGAAAAGCCAATATATGTATGCAACTAAGTATGGGAATGACTTTTTACTATCATTTAAAATCCCCTTCTTAAAGACATAGGTTATTTTTTATTTGTGCTGTACAGCTGCTTGTTGGAGAGCATGTTTTCCTGAATGGTAAACAAAAAAGGCTTGAAAAATCTGACATTATATGGTAATATTTAAATTCATACAGGATGGCTCATTTAAGCCTTCTGGAAATCAACAAATTTAAACCACTTGTCTGCTACTTGATTTTAATCAGTATCCCTAAATATTTTGTTATGTTATAGTTGAACTTTTCATTTTAATTGGTTAACAGCTTTGCTTAACCAGTAATTAATGGAACAATATTTGCAAAACTGTTTGTAGATGTGGCCCCATAAGCTTATATCGTACTGCAAGAAATTGACATATTATGTCTTAATTCTTTGCAAAAGAACAGTTTAATTTTGTTTCATCAACAATCTAAGGGTGGGTAAGACATTTTCAAAGGACAACATAGCTGTTTAAGAAATTTAAGCTCCAAAAGATAATCCTTAACCCATGATCAAAGCCGACTGCCTTAAATCTTTCTTAATCTGGGTCTTTGGAGCTCCAGTAGAAGCTTTGCATCAGTAAATTATCCTCTTTGCAACTTTATGCATAATTCGTTCATTTGGGTTTATCATGCCACTGTGACACTCCATCAGCCCTACCTGACTTTAATTAATTGAAACTAGTTTTATTTTCTTATTTTTACTTCATCACTTCACAACTGACTTTTTTCTTTGTTTGTGTGTTTTAAAAAATATATCTTCATTTGACAGGCCTGCCGGAGTCCCTGAGTGTTTATTTCACAGGTAAATCTTCATTTTTCTACATTATGACTGATAGAGAAGGATGCAGACTGCTTCCTTTGTCCTTGTTTCCCCTATCCGATCCAACACCATATAAACTTTGATTCCACTCCTTTTCCAAACTGTGTTTCCCTCAGTCTTATGTTTCTGTGTTTAACTTTCTCTTCCTGAATTCTTCACCATAGTTCTGCTCATATTTATTGCTATCATAGCCACACTCTTATTCCATTACGTCACACACTTTTAGCCTTTTTCATTTAGTTTTATTCACAATTCTCATCTGGCAAAATAAATTAACTCTATCACAAATTTTCTTTCCTGTACCCCATTTTTGTATTCTCTGTTTCATTCTTTGCTCTACTGTCTGTTTGACATCCTGAACCCTTTGATTAAATTGTAATTGTTTTTTCAGCCCCCTTATTGTCGCACTTCTATTTCTTTCCACTTTTCCTTTTGTCGTCTTCCCTTATCCCTTTAATCCTCTTCTCGCCGCATCGAATTAAATTTTTCTTTTACTTCTTCTTCTCTTCCAACTTCCTTTCCTGTTTTTATCTCTTTTTAATCTTCACCATAAATGTCCTTTTTTATCTTTCTCCCATTTTTCTTTTGCCTTTGCTCTCCAAATCATCTGCTCTCTGTTTTGCCATTTTCGTCTTCACTATAAACCCTTCCTCCTCTTTGTTTTCATTTCTCACTGTTCCAGCTGGACTTGATTTTTTTTAGATAATTGGTTATTCTCTGTTCTGGCTCTTTAATTTGTCAGTGAAAACAAGTCCTTTCTGCCGGCTGCACCAGTGATAAAGTGCTGCTGCGCCCTGTCCTCCACAGGATGTGCTCGGATAGTGATGTACACTTTTGGGTGTTCAGAGTTGACAGAAGTGCTTTTTACTTCAGTTTACACACACACTCACACACACGCACAAGCCTAATTCTTTTATCCTCCATATCCTCTGCTTCAATCCAAACTTTAAAGGGCCACTAAACAAACAGCTAAGTTTAAAAGCAGTTATCAGAATGCATCTACTGCTAAACAGTGTAAGAGTACACAGCTCTCACAAACTCTCATTTGAAGTATTAACCTTTTTATATGCATCTGTGCTCATAATTAACATTTTGTAACTTAGATTTGCCTTCTTTTAAAATTACAGTTTTTAATTAGATGGATGGAGCTATTCTAAAATATTATCTTGGTAATTGTTTCTTGTTTTTTACAAACCAAGCTATTGGTCAATGTTTGAAATAGTTATGGCATTAGACCAGATTGCTGAACTTTTTACTAACATTTAAACAAAATTCCATTGTAAAAGAGCATTCCTGAATTAAACAACATATTGTGTATTGAACTTTATTTTAGTCACCTCCTCACCACGATGCATGTTGATATATGATACAGAACCAACAACAATATAAACAAACATACTGGATACATTTTTCTGAAGATTAGATGAAGAACTTAGAAACCTTAGAACTTAGAAAGTTTTTCAGCTCTTTCTTTAGAGATCATAAAGCTTCCAACAAACAGCATTTCTAAAAGAGAGTACTGAAAAAGATAAGACACAAGCCTACCAGTCAGAAGGACCAGAGAAATATACTGTATTAACCATTGGCCACATAAAGTAATGGGTTAGATGGTTTTTTCTCGTTTTCTCCGGGGGATGGGTTCAATGTGAACATAACTTTAACATAACTAACACTATCCTCTGTTTTTGTATATGAGCAGCAATTGTGATTACATTTTTTCAGTTGATGTAAGTCTTTAGGGATGACATAAAAGTAGTTTTATTTGTGCCATTTTTCCTCATGTGTGTTTTTTCTGGTCTTTTGATGTCATCTGCAACACTTTCTGTCGTTCTGTGTCTGTGTTTCACAGTATCTGATGGGGAACACACCACCCCTGAGATGGATTTTGCTGTCTTGTTGCTTTCAAACCATCAGCAACCGCCAGTGTTTCAGGTTCTAGACCCACTGCTGGAGGTCAAGCGGGGAGGAGAATCTACCATAGGTAAAACTGTGGTAGAAACACAAAAGCATAACAAACTGTACAATCTAAATGTGAATAGAATTGTTTTCAACACATGATACATGCAGCTTTATAAACCTTGTTTTTTTTAAGGTAAAAATAAAGCCATTTAGAAATGTTAGTTATTTTTTTCCTCAGACATATGTAACTCTATACACCTGTGGTTTATCTGTGTGTGTGTGTGTGTGTGTAGGTGGAAAGCAGCTCGCAGTGAGTGATGCCGACACGGCTCCTGATGAACTGGAGTTTGAGCTGGTAGAAGCTCCCATCCATGGACGGTTGATCAAAACTGATGGCAGCACAAACATCCACATGACTAATGGTAATATTGAATTTCTTTTATTTTGAGGCGAGCCCTATTAGTAGTACACTATGCAAAATTGAAAAAAACACAAACCAAATCAGGTCCCTTGAGGTAGAGCTCCTATTCATCAATAAAGCTTTAATCACTCTCTAAATGCAATTCGTCTCTGTTAGAATTGCCATTCAGTGTTCAAATATGATAACACACAGAAGAATGAAAGGAGCAATATATTCATTCATATCTTATTTTTCTCCTCAGGTGACATCTTCAGCTTCAGTGATGTCACCCGCGGCGTTCTTGTCTACCGCCATGCTGGCCTCTCCGATGAAGATGACACCATTGCCTTCTCAGTTAGCGATGGGATATCCATGGCAACCGCGGTTGTTCAGGTAGTGGTGAAGGACGATGGGGGAGACGGGCCACAGCGGGACCCCGGTGCCACCTTCTCCTTGGAAGTGGGCAAGAAGAGTAGCACCGTCATCACACGCTCCCATCTGTCGTACACCGTGAGTGAGACGAGCTTGTTGTTACTTTTAGAAACTGAGAATTAGGCAGGGTCAACCTGGGACTGTTTCATTTGTGGCGTTTCATACTTTTTTTTTGGTTAGGAAACATATTACAGCAACACATCTCCGTATTTCCAACACACTATGCAACAAACTCTTGTCCATCTCCCCTTTATTTCACCTTTCTCGGTCAAAGAGACAGGGAGAAAATGCAAACTCTACAAACAAATGCCCCAGGTCTCCTAGGGATTCAAACCAGGAACCATCTTGCTTTGAGGCAATGGTCCTAACCAGCACACCACTGTGCCTCCCTAGTCTGGATTATCAACCCTCTTATTTTATCTCTCAGGACTTGGAGTTGAAATTAAAAAATGTTGCTGAGATCCAAATTTGGCAGTGCTTCATGAAAAACATGTAAATCATCGGAAATTATTAGTTGTACTTCAATTATCTGAAATTAGATAGATTTCCATAGTGTTCTTTTGTGAAGCCTTGCAGGCTGCCTGGAACGTGACAGTTTGGCTCTCTATTTGGATCTGCAGTGAGTGACAACGTTATACATGTGGCTTATACTTTTTTGAGACTGTGAACAACATTTAGATTACAGTTATTATGAAATTTGGGCTCACGCAACCGCTTAATTTTTGGCTGCAAGGAATTGGCCTGCTTGCACTTCGTAGCTACAGCTATGTTTCATTATTTTATGTCCCAAAAGTAACATTTTCTAAAAGGAATGCTTGGCCAGTAACAGTAGATCTTTAGTTGAATCATGTCCTTTATTTTGTTTATCAGGATAACACATCACCAGATGATAAGATAATCATCCAGTTGGTGTCGCTACCTATGTACGGCATCCTGACCAAGAGCCAGTCCCTGGATGATCCACAGGAGCTGAAGGAGTACTCATCGTTCACCATGGATGACATCAATATGCACAGGATCAGGTAGAAGTTGTTAAAGGGACCTTTTAACACAGTGAAAATGTGCTGGATTAAACAGAGCATTTTTTCATATTATTCAACCCTAAGATTCAACACGATTTTGGTATACCTGTAAATGAACACTAACACATGTCCTGTTCTGCGTTTGTTTACACTGCTTAAAACAGCCAACCATTGAAATAATTTGTTGCAATGGTTCATGGTCAACCTGTTCCTGCTTCTGCTTTGATGGTTCAGTGTCTTTTTGATAGTTTAAACCTCACTTTAGAGCATGGGACCCCAAGTAAAATAGCCAGAGATCCATTACCTTCATCATTCAAACTATCTGGGGTCTGAACATTGTTGATCAAACGTCAAAACGTATTTTCTTATATAATTTTCATTTAATATTTATCAACGTATATTTTCTTTGGACAACTGATCAATAATTTACATGTCCATCCAATCATTTACTGAGGGTAGTCCAATTTAGGCGGGATAATATGTTTTTTTTTTAAAGTTAACAAGAAAATTATGCAATAATCTTTGCAAAACGTATTGCACATAAACCAACATTAAAGTGCTAACAGATCACCCTAAAAATTAAACTGATATTCAGGAAAAAGAAGTGCTGTTAATTGCGCTACAAATATTATTGACAAAACAATGCAATTTACCAAAAGACATATTCAAAAAGAGTGCTGGCTTTCACTTCGATGGGAGAAATTTATAGCTAGCTTGTTAAACTTTCGGTGGAATCTTCAACTCTTCAACATGCATGCAGGTGCATATTAATCAGTCGTGAGTTAAATTTGTTATTGATATGTTAAGAGTTGAGAAGGCCAACTCCAAACTGTTTACAATGACCAATTATAAACATGGCCATTAATCTTGCACACAACAGAGGGAAATTGAAAGTCTATGGATCTGTCCATTCATCTTAAAAGTGTCCATTTTGCAGTGTACTTTGTGTATTTTTTCACTCTGTGAAACTGTCCTCTTATTATCCAGCCAACTAACTGTAAGTAAGCTTAAATGACCCCCAGGATGTAGCTGACACACATACTGTAAGTGCTGTCGCGCCTGTTTAAAAGTCAGACACTGCTGCCAGCCGCTGGAAAAAAATCTAAATCCAACTACACAGTCATTTAGAAAATACTTTGCTGTCCAGACAAAACCCTTTCGGGGTCAAGATTGCAGGTTGGGGACCCCTGCTTTAGAGACTTCCAATATAAAACAGCTTTAAACTAAAAATTACCTTGAAACAACTTGAGCCTTTTTATAACTTGCTGTCAGCTCCCACAAATGGCCATCTTTTTCAAAGCAGGCAGAGAGAAGTGTGTTGAATTTGGAGATGCCTTGTTTCCTTGATTAAATGCTGATTGGTTCAAAGCTAGCTCTAGCCAGTGGGGACTGACAGATTGTTCATCAAAGAAGACAAAGCACCAAAGACTGATAAAACACGCAGATTACAATTGCAGCTACCTACTTCTATAGAAATTATTTTAGCACTTTATCAAAATGAAGATATTTGTCCACACAGTGAAGCTAAAAGACAACAACACTAATGTTTGTGCCATAGCTCTGACTGTTTCACATAGTGTACCTTGTTTTATTTTTGTTAGATAACAGTGGAGAATTTCAAAGAAATGAAAAAAATTAATCAATAAAAGGTGTTGTGTTAACAAACAGGTTAATTACCATCCAGATGTTTCCTACACGAAAAAAGTGTCTGGTTTGGACAAGAATTGGGGTTTTGATTCCTGGTGTCAAGGGTTCTCCACAATGTAGTGGCATTCCTAATTATTTTTTCTTCTATCTTGAGTCAGTGGCAACCATTTAATGCAGAAATAAAAAGAAATAGTTTCTTGCAGAGTACCTTTTCCTTTAACTTAATGTTAATAATAATGCAGTATAATGCTATACCGCCCGAGATAAGAGGTCATACAATAAAAGAAAGCGAGAAAGGAAATTAATTATAACCATCGCCCCCAATTAAACTCTGTGATTGAGCTTATTGACATAAGTAGTGCCAATTAACATATCAACAATCTTGCATGCAGCTAAAGAAGAGTCCAAGTGGTATAAAAATATTTTTTGTTTTCATCGTACAGATTGATTAGGTGCTGGTGCTTCTCGTGCAAACAAAAGTTGGAAAGTGTTGTGAAATTTCAACATGGTTAGAAAAGATTATAGTGGTGTGGATTTTAATTCCCTTTCTGTGGTTACATTTGGTACAACACATTATTATGGGGGGTTGACCCTTCGCAGAGAATAGCTGAAGTCTTTTTATACACACCTGTCACGGCCAATGAGATGGGCGCAGTTCGTGGAGGCCCGTCCTCCTCACAGTAACAATACTTTTAATGTTTTTGCATTTCAATATGCACAACCTTGCTTGCAGGATACTTTGAAAGGCAATATAACTGGCGACTGGTGGTGAGCTTGCTCCCTGCCCAGGATGTTGCTCTTGCTTAGGTTGCTTGCTTGCTGTAAAATTTAGTTTGCTAACTTGCAGTATGATTTGAGGCCGTTTCGGTTGCTCACAGGCTGCCCACCTTCCTACCACCGAACATGGCCAACTCAAATTCGTTTAGCCACGCTAACAAAAAACTTGTTTGGCTCTTACCTGTGTACATCTCTTTGTTGTCCGACTATGGCTTCGGTAAGACAGAGAAAGAATTGTGCTGGGTCTGGCAAGGTTGGTAGAAGAGGCAACTTCTGACCATGTCCATTTTCATGCAAGTTTTTTCCTCTGAGATAGATACTCAAGATGCTCGCCCCATTGTCTTGGCATGTTGCGCTTGCTAACCTGGAGTCTTGTTAGCAAGACTGAGTGTTAGTTTATGCAAATTAACACTTCCCAATTCTGTCCAAATGCAGACGATTAATGCGGTTCACCTTTGAGGGGGGTGCATTCAAATATCAAACTCTGCATTTCAGTCTGTATCTTGCTCAGCCTCAGCCCCAGCCTGAAAGTTTGTTCTCTGTGCCTGGAACTTGACCCCTTACGGCACCATACCCAGTTGCCCCAGAAAAGGGTTTAGCCTCTCACAATTTCAGTCAAATCGTTTGGTCACGATCCCCCACCGCCAGCGCCTACTGGGCTTCATAGCCTCCATGATTCCAGCAGTCCTAACTTGGCCTGCGGATGATGAGGAGGTTCCATCATTGGTCCATTGAGGCAGCGTCAAGGAAAGAGGCTGTTGATGGTCTCCCGCCCTGTCCCTGCAGGCACTGCTTCCCTGGTAAGACCCTGTGAGTCTCGATAGGGGAACCCCATTGGGCAGGGTCTCCTCTCAGATACTGGTAACAACGGATACATCTAACTGGGGTTGGGGAGGACTATCCCTGAACGAGTGTGTCAATGGCACTTGGCAGTAGTGTCAGAAGCAGTGGCATATGAATATGTTGGAGCTGATGGTTGTATATCTCTCTCTGAAACAGTTCTACAAGAAGGGCTTGATTGCTCGTCAACATATTTTTAATCCAGTTGTGGTGTGACTGACATAAACAAGCAGGAAGTGATGCCGTCTCTTCCACTACTCAATCTCGCACACACCCTGCTGACATTATGAAGCTCCTGGCTGCTTTCGCTTGGAGCAACTCATATCCCAGGGGGTTTTAACTACAGTGCACAGTGGCTCTCCCAGGGGATCCACTATAGTGAAGACTATAGCCTCTGGTGAACAAGGGATATCGGACTGGTACAGCTAAGCCGGTGTCGATTTCGGTTGCTCCTTGCTTGATAAAGAAGGTTCAGTTTGCAGAAATCATATCTCAAGGGGAGCCTTGGTGAGCCTTGAGCAGAGATCTGTTGATTTAGATGAACAGTCAGATATGGTATCCATGTCCTGAAATATGGGATCTATGGGCTTGGTCCCCAAGAGGGAGAAATTAATGTCCTTCCATCTCCCCACTAGTGTGATTGACACTATCTAGAGTGCTAGATTCTAAAGTCTATCTGTCAGCTGGATGGGAGGGGAAATCTCCCTGTTCCCGCCCACTAGTGGTTTGGTTCAACAAGGGCATTGTGGAAGACACCACGGAGTAAAGTTGTGTTTGCACTGCTGCAACCTGGGCTTCCCCAAATTGGGCTTCCCCATACACTTTTGTTAAGTTGTGCCGGCCTAGAATGTCACTCAAGAAAGAAAAAGCGAAAAGAGGAACAACACTTGTTGGCCCCTCATCGGGGATGGACGGTAAAATGCAGTGTAGATTCAGTGAATGAGACTGTGAAGAGTATTTATACCCTAAGGAGGACGGGGCCTCCACTAGCTGCACCCGTCTCATTGGCCTTGACAGGTGTGTTGAACAAACTCCCATACTAATGTGTTTTATCTTGTTTCCCTCCCCCACAGAACATTGCTAACTTCCAGGTTTTGTATTTTACTGCATTTATCAGTCAGGTCGTTTATATACAAGAACACCTAATAATAATATTCTGTATCATTTAAAATAAAAATCGGAAATGAAGAATTTTAACAATGTGAGACTCTTCTCAATGCATACAACTCTAACGATTATTCCCATCTGCAGGTACATCACTTCAGTGGACACAGGAAGTCAGTCGGTGACTGACATCTTCTACTTTGTTGTTTTTGATGAAGACAACAACCGTCTCGGCAATGAGATGTGCACAATCATCATCACGTCTACACCTAAACAGATGCCTGAGGTCACTGTGCAAAGCAGCGTTGAGGTACTGACATATATGTCATGTATAATCAGTACTGTGAAAGTCTGCCAGATTTGCTTGTATTATTTCACAGTGACCCTTCTTGTCTTCAAAACAGATTTCCTCTCTTCAAAGGAATGCTATTTTATTTTATCACCAGATGAGTCAATTATCACATTTCTGGGAATCATCCAAGCATAGAAAAGTGCCGAACTCAAAGAATGAAACGGCGTAGTATTTTGAGGCACGTTGTGGCTAGTAGCCTGCCACAAATACATAAATCTTTAAACTAATCTAGTATGCATTAACAAACCAGAACATATCTCAGCATGGTGCGCAGTTTGTCCCAAAAGACCAAAGAAACAGGACAAGATAGGGATAGAAGAAGTGTCAGGTACATTAAAGTAATTTACATAAGATGAGCAGAATCTGAAAATGATGTCATTGCAAAAAAACCTACAGCAGACATAGGACCTGAGAGATAAAACTGAAACTTCAAATGATCCATTTACTGGTCAACTGGATCCATCAGAAATGGTCCCATCACACGGATTAGTAAAACATCCTAAAAGTTAATTATGAACTGATTGTGAATTGTCTTTCAAAAATAAAGAACTAAAAGCTTAAATTCTGACATTAATTCTTTGCACAATTTGCAGAAAGCTTCTTCAGTTTTGAAGAAGAATGCAAAAAGCTGTCTTCAGTTATGAAGAGGCCTACATTAGTGTTTTTACTGTTTTTTAACATCCATGTTTAGGTCCATGAAGGTGGTCGTGTGCAGCTATCAACCAATCACATCATACTGTCAGATGTGGGAACATCTACAAAAGATCTGCTGGTCTGGCTTGTCAGCCCTCCTAAGTACGGTTTCATTGAAAACACCAACAAACGTGAGTTTTAAAATTCTGAAGGAGGAAAAAATTGTACACAAATTAAGTGCTTCTTTATTTTTTGTTCTGTGTAACTACTTAAGTATGAGGGACTCAGTGTTTGTGAACTCTGCTGCAACGCAACTGAGAATTGCTGCTGAGAATATTATTTTTGTTTTCATGTTATATTCAGACAATGCTGGCTGAATTCCCTGTGGTGATAATGCCCTTTGTTACAGTTTGATGATGTTATGGATTAGGCCTGCAGATAGAGAAAATTCTGATGTTCAAGTGTTGACTCCCTGCATGTTCAAGCAATGTAACTTCTTCTGTTCGAGTGAGGATCAGTTTTAAAAGATGAAAGCAGAACTATGGGCAGGAATGGATCAATTTCTGTCTGCAAAATGTGTGACAGTGTATGTAGAATGGATAGATAAAAAGCATATACCAAAAAAGATGTTTGTTCATTGAATATGATTGTTAGACTTTTACAGAATGCTGTGGGATTCGTCTTCCAGGATGTTTTCTGCATGGAAGAGGTGGAATACATTAGCAGAACGCTTCCATTGAAATGGAGTAATTAAGTCCACCCACTCCTCTGTGGGCGCTTTCACATTGTGACTTGGGGTTTCACAAATATGGTGGAGAAATCCATAAAAAAACTGTGCTTTAACTCAAGGACTTTTTTCTGTCAGGATCCTTTAATCTTTCTGCTTAACTTCAAGTTTAACATCAAACAGTTTTTTTTATTCTGAATATAACATCTAGTGGGACATAGAGTAGGACCTTGCAAGTTATTATATATATTTGTCTGATCATGACACAATGATTTTAAATGTTTTGTTTGTCTGCGTTTTACTGTACTCAAGATAAAAACATACAGTAGTTTTCTTCCCAAATTAGATATGCTCATTTATTAAAACTTCTTAATGTTATCTCAAAACTAAACCTAAACCTACATGCTTATTTTTCTTCTTGTTAAATTTGGAAGATGAAAGATACTTATTTTTTAAATTAAATTCCTGTGCATGTTGAAACCATGCCAAGACTAACTTTTAGCATCCACTGGATCAGTAAGCAGATGATGGTATAGCTGAGGAGAAAACTCAGCCTGGGTCTTCACAACTGGAAAGAACATGCTGTGCTCCTTTCTAGAAATGGACAAGTCAATACGTCAAGTAGAGGAGTTTAAATTTTCAGGATCTTGCGCAAAAGTGATGGGGTTGGGACAAAAGCCTTAGCTTTTATTGGTCCATCCATGGTCCAACTCACACCCATGATTTTGTTTCTGTTTATGCATTTAGCAGACGTTTTTTTCCAAAGCGACTCACAATGCAGAAACAGCATTACAGTTAGCATCAACTTAACGATAGGCTACCTAGAAGAAAATAAGTAGTCCGACCCTGTTAGAGGCCACAGTGGTGACAGTAAATAGATAGAAGGAAGTACACAAAGAGTGGGAGAGGGGGTGGGAGGTACAAGGTAAGAGTTAGGGAAGCAAATGTTCTCTGAAGTGCTGGGTCTTCAAGAGTTTCTTGAAAATAGCCAGGGACGCTCCATTCAAGAGATATTGGGTCGTGAAGAAAGGAGGAAGTTGGTGAGTGCTAACAGATGTCATCTGGAGGGAGCTCTGAGTAGAACCATCACTTAGCTGACATGGTCTCTATCTCATCCACGGCTTCCTCTTTTTTCAAATGCTGTTACATGAACTGAGAGCACATAGCAACCAGAAGGCCATTTGTCATTGAAGCTCTCAAGTAGTGACATTTTTCGGTGTTGCATATTACAGGTTACTTCTTTGACCATTTCTAAAATAGTTCTCAAGACCCACCTCTTCTGTTTTGCTTGAGGCCTAGATAGAGATGTTGTTTGTATATTGTAATTGTTTTAAGTCAGAATTTTTTTTTCTTTTTATGCTGGCATGGACTACCAGTTAAAGTTTGGGACACATGTATCTGTTTAAACAACCCTGGATAAGCGGACGATAATGGATGGATGGATGAATGGATGGATGGATTGATGTATGGATGTATGTTTACATATGTGTGTGTGCTTAAGCGCTGAAACTAATCACCCTCCATCCACCTATAAAGCTCGAAACATCCTTTAAGCAGCAGCTTTTCCCAAAGGGACTGTACTGAGCCTTGCTTAGGACGAGCTAAAAAAAAAAACACCATGTCAAAACACTTGAGATGTGTCTCTGACCTTTAAACTCTCAAGATACCAATTTGATGGCAAGCCCAATATAGTAAGAGACCTTGCTCACAACCCAGAGAGCTCAAAAGATCATTTTCTATAGTCCAGAATACCTTATAATGATCTTTACCATGTCCTCGCCAGTTGGAGCTCTGTTTTTTACAGGAAATTAGGAGAATGCTCTTTATTAGGCAGGTAAGGTTGTGATTAATCGCTGTACATAGATATACCCTTAAGTATGAATTTTCATGTAATTGGGACATAAAGATAATAATAACCTTTAAATAGCAATATAAAGTCTTATAAGTTGTTAAAGATTGTTAAAAATATATGTTCTTATTGTAAAATGTCCCAATTTCAGGATTATATTAATACTCTGGGCCATCTTCACCACAATTCTTTTTTTTTTTGTAACCCTCACTTGATTGAAACAAATAATTGGTCTTGTGTAATCGGAGACAGAAACGAAAATTTTACTTATCTGATTGATTCGGAAAACAGCACATATAGAAGTAGTTTGAGAACAGAGCAAACCACAGAAGACTTTTCGTGGTAAATGTAGGTAATTTCACAGTCTGATTGCTATTCTGCTTGAGTTCCTGCTCAGATAGACAACCCTCCCTCTCCGTTATACAGGCAGATGATTCAGACGTGATGTGATTCAGTTTTGGGCCTTCAACACACACGCTTATTATATAAACACAAGTGCACAAATCAGCTTTTTCCTGCAAAGCTCTGACTCAGCTTGCTGAGAATTCATCCATCCTCTTGCTTACGATCAGTCTCAAACTTCAGAGCAATCATAGCTGAATTTGCACATCTAGTACAAGTGTAGCTCAACATCTGGGATCTCAGCTCACATTATTACGACCAAATGGGCTTTTTTTAGTATAATATTGTGCTGCATTAGTTTCTTGGTGCATCATCCAGGCATCCAAACGACTGCTCAGCTCAGGTTTAGAAAAAGGAAATGGGCTGGTTTGAAGAATATAGAGTTTGGGGTAACTTTAGTTGCCAGATGTTAAAAGGGTCTTTGTCACACTCAATGAACTCTGTGAAGAATAAAGTTAGTTCTAAAGTTAGGTCATATCTAGAGAAAGGAATATTTTTAGTCAATAAAAGCTATTTTCTATTCAATTCAATTCAATTTTATTTATATAGCACCACATCGCAACAACAAGTTATCTCACAGCGCTTTCCAAACAGAGCAGGTCAGACCCTACTGTAAGTTAATTACAGAAACCCAACAATTCCCACCATGAGCAAGCACTAGGCGACACAGGCAAGGAAAAACTTCCTTTTAACAGGCAGAAACCTCGAGCAGAACAATGGCTCAGGGTGGGCGGCCATCTGCCTCGGCCGGTTTGGGGTGAGAGAAAGAGAGGGCGAGAGAAGGACAGAGGGAGCAGAGAGAGGTAGCCAACACAGTAACACAGAGACTGGATGAAAAGTGGCAATGATATTGAGACTAATGATAATGATAGCACTTATGATAACAATAAGACTATGCAGAGTAGTAGCAGAGTAGAAACATGGGAGCAGCAGGAAACTCCCAATAACAGACCAGCTTCCACAGCTCTAGGAACCCCTGCAGGAAGTGATAGGAGGAGACTCCCAACCACAGATCCAGACCCCACAGCTCCAGAGCCAGGAATATCTGCAGAAAGTGATAAGAGGAGAGAGGAGGGGTACGAGAACTACGGGGAAGGGAGAGAGTCCAGTTATTAACATCGTTATATCGTTAACATCTATATATATCCAATATAATTCCAATCCTCAAGGGCTGCTGCCCTATAGGTTTTAGAGGTTTGGTTGTTTCAACGCACCCAATTTACATCAATGTGTCATTAGTGGGCCTGTGCAAAGCTTAACATTGTCTAGTGGAGATCAAATTTAATCAGAATCGGGTCTGCAGGAGTTCCTACCTGCCGGCTTTTTCACGACCTGTGTCTAGAGGCCCACACACATGGTTTAGGCAGACCACATTAGGGGCCATTTATGTCATGGCATTTTTCAAGGATGGAGTGATGAATGAGTCAAATATCCTCAATTTTGCAGGCTGTAGAGTTAATTCAGAACAGTATACAACATGTGCAAAACCAGTGGTTCTCTCAAGCTTTCTCAACCTCTTTCAGATTGTTAAACAGCATCCCTTTTCACTTGTGTGTATTTGGTGAACCCCACTACAACCTTTCCCAAGCGCAGGGAAAGTTTTTTCCTGTTATAGCCAACCAAACCTTAATAACACCCAATTTATGCCAAAACGTGCAAAATGTCCCCTGGGACATTCAGCATGTTCAGGTCACTTTGACCTTTCTTTACCCCAAAAAAACAATTTTCTCCCCAATGTTCCCCCTAAGAAATAAGAATTCTGCTGTTGTAGTCTACAGTGATGATGTCTCTGGAGTTACAGTATCATTCATTGCAGTCTTGGTGACGTCAATACTAGTGGCTTCTTCAGTATAGCCTCCAAAGGCTTGTGGTCCGACTCCACAACCACATTTTGGCCCAAAAATGTACTCGTGAAAACGATTGCAGCCATACAATACAGCATACAGCTCCTTTTCTATCTGTGCTGTTCAGAGGCTTGGATGCGAAAGCAAATGGTTTTTATGTCTTGAGAGTTATCGGGTATTTCAATCGTTTGAATGCTCTGTCATTGATGGCATCCCAAACAAACTTATTATCCTGTTTTAGTAGTTGTCGCAGTGGTGCGTTGATCTCGGACAGGTGTGGAGCTAATCTGGCAAGGTAGTTTGTCGTTCCCAGAAGAAGAGCATAAGCTTTTTTTTTTTTTTACTGCATTTGCCTTTATTTTTTATCATGATGTTGTTTTGTGGGGAAGCCCTGACTATGCTGAGGGCTTGGATGTACACACTCTGGCAAAATGGTCAAATTTGCATTGCGTGCACTGTTTCCCTTTGGCTGGACAGATTTCCTTACTGCTGTGTTGTTCTGCATAGTAGCTACAGGTTATCTGTGTTTTTTTTTCTTTTTGCCTTGTAGTTTTCTGTGGTGTCTCTTGTCTGTATGAAATCCAGCTTACGGATTGCACTGTGTATCTCTTCAGCTTCTCTTCGGCTTGCTCCTTAGCTAGGTCATGAATCCTCTCTGGATTTCCCTAACAGGAGCTCAGCTCCCTGGCTGAGCAATCTTAGCCCAGTCACAAACTTTTCGACTGGTTCCTACTCACCCTAAATCCTTTCATGGAACTTTTAACTGGCATAGATGGGGTTGGCCTTGGGAGCGATATAGGCTGTGTGTTTATCATAGTACGTCTGTAACATCTTGGCTTCGTCTCCTGTGAGCATCTAAGTGTCATATGCTGTAAATTACGTCGTTTCTTTCCTATCCATAAAAGGAGATAGCTTAATTTGTCCTCATCCTCAGCTGCACGTGTTGTTGCAAGCGTTGTCAGGCTTTGGGTAGGTCTATGGAGTCCCAGTCCATTAGCGGAGCAGGAACACCAAAGGAATCCATTTTCTTTGCGATGGGTTAGCAGATTGTCTGCTACTCTGACACCACGTACTGTTTACTCATTGTTGAGTTGTAAATGCCACTTAATAAACACAGCAAGTCCGTCTTTGTGCTATTCTTTATCCAGCCATCTTTATTCTCCTCTTGCCAAATGCTACCAGGTTCCAAGTCTCGTTGGATTATATAAACAGTTTTATTCAGGGGACCTATTATGTTACAACTACAGATTCACACAGCCCAACTGTCCCTGCTGTCTGGCTCCTCACAGAATATACATATACACACTGACAACTACCACCTCTCTATCCCACTCTTGCCAGACTTTCACCCACTCGAAAAACTTCATGGCCCTGTTCGCTTCTCCTCAATACATTATGCACCTTATTGTCTCCACAAACTTTTAAACTTTTTTTTTATTGCACTTTGCACAGTCCTTGCATATATTTTAAAATGTGTATTTCTCTGTTAATTTGTATTCATCTTACATTATTTAATATATTTAGTTTACTTTATTTTGAATTATAATGCCTTTTTATGCCGCTCCACTGAGCCCTTTGAGGACTAAAATGTTTATTGAATTTAATTTAATCCCAACATATTTTTTCTGTTCCTACATCTTGCAGGGGGCTCATTTGGCAGCTCACAAGTTATCACCTCAGGTGCCCCTTTCTCTGTGGAGGAGCTTATGTCTGGCCGCATCTTCTACGTTCATGACAGCAAGCGTACACCTCAAACTAGTCAGGATGTCTTCAGCCTGTTCATCAGTAACGGGAACAGCCAGACAGAAGCTTTCAATGTGGAAATACTCATTAAGGTAATATCTAAAGTTGCTTAGCAATCAAAATCAAAAGGAAAGAAATATAGATTTTAAATCTTTGTTTCCAGTGCTCAAAATTGTGTTCATACAGTCTAAAAGAGCAAATCAAACTGTTTTATTCCAACACTGACTTTTGGTAAACTTAAACTTAGTATACTCTTCAAATATAGCACTTTAGCTAAGACAAGGAGGCACGTATACAAGATTTATTGCATTTCTTGGAGGTATAAAACAACTTCTAATGATATAATTTCAGTCAATAGAGGTTAGCAATTTATAGATCTAAGTAATTCTTTTAGAAATATTTCATGGAGTATTGTATTTCCTTGTTGATTAAAAACTGTGTATTGTTAAAAATGATCAAAAACGAGGTTCAGTTGAATTGCTTCTATTGAGATCATCAAAAACAAACCCAATAGAGCTTGATTCAAGACACACAGACTCTCAGTAAGCTGCTCTGAAACCTCTATTCCTCTATACTTCAGCTCTGCCCTGTGGGTGCCATGCTTCTTATTTTCTTAAAGATATGCGCACCCTTCAAATACAGCACTTTAGCTAGCATTAAAACCTGAGTTGAATTGATGAGGCTTTCAGAGAGCAGTAAAGTTTGCTTGAGTCTGCCTGTGTTCAAGCGAGCTGCACAGATCAAATCTGTCTGTATTAGTTCTGTTTGAGACTTGATGTTTGAGTAAAAAAAACTGGTTAGGCATGTCGGAGTACATCACTGCTTTCCCCTTTTTTCAACAGAGTAAAGAGGACAGACAACTGACAGTGTCAGTCAGCAGCATCCATGTGGAGGAAACGTCTGGTGTTGTCATCACCAACTCATCCCTGAGTGTCAATGACAAGGACACGCCAGACAATGAAATCCTCTTCACCATTATCAGGATTCCCACCTATGGTGAGCACAGAAAAACTACTCAAGCTCATTCAATTTGCACATCTACTTGAGGGTTACAGCATACATACAGCAGGCTTTCAATGATTCCAGCCTTCTTTATTCTGGCCTTCAGTTGTTTGAAAAGAATAATAAAGGCGCGTTTAAGCTGTGGGGCATCAGCTCTAAGCACCAAACAGCATACGGTTGAACTCAAATCTTTCTAATCTTTCTAAAGCAGTTGGCTCTTAAACTGTCTGGCAAGGTTTGAAGGATGAATGTAGAGCAGAGAAAAAAGGAGCATACTGTATTAAACTTTTACTCTTCAACCTGTATAAAATGTTCCTTTTAAACCTTTTTTATGGGGAAATCCTGACAACCACATCAATGCTTTAAGACTTTATTTAAAAAGTAATAAAATGCCCTGCTGTTCATATTATTTTTCAAATCAAGTGTTTTCCATGGACAAATTTGAAAATGAATTATTAATTCAAACTGATTTAGTTAACATGCACTTCACTTAACTGATATTTATCTATGTGTTAGCTTTTATGATTATGGCACAATATTTTTCTCTTTTGAATACACTTCTGTTATCAATCAAAAATGCATCAAAACATTTTCTTACTTGTAATTACAGTATGCAAATACACATCCCTACAATATTTAAGCCAGTTGATATATGTTTACACTCCCAAATGCAACATATGTTCCATCAAGTTGTCCCTCTGTACATAAAGCAAGCCAATTGATATCAATGCTCTGTTTAGAAGTAAGTGCCCGGCATGTTGACAGTAACTTATTTTAAATGTGATTGGGATTAGCGGACACACAGATTGGTTTCACTTCCAGCTCCCAAACAGCCTGAAGCAAGATAAACACACCAGACTGCCGCAGCGCTCCGAACTGTCTGCAACCATTCCTCACACACACTGGACGCTACCATACACCCTCGGATCCACTGGGGTCTCATTTATAAAGGTCGCGTACACACAAAGCGGGGCCCTGAAATTCGTGTACACTGCCTTCCACGCAAACTTTGTGATATATGAAGAAAAACTTGAGGGGAAAATGTGCAGACCCCAGCACAAACTCTGACCCAAAGCATGCTTTTTGGAGACAGGAGAAACTGAAGCCACACTGCATCATCTTTCCTCCAATACATTTCAATTCACTCCATATCCGAATTTAATAAATGACTTAATCACAAGCTTTCCAAACAGTTATTTATGCTTGTGCTGGTAAGCCAAAAAAATAAAAGTTTGACTCTATTTTTTCACTTTTCAGCAAAATAACACATACAGTACACAAAAAAGCAAGAAAATGGGGTTGCAATTGTCATTCACTTCAAACTGTCATATAAGAGTCCTTGAGTAGTGGCCATTTTCGGTTGATCCGATCAGCACTCCTTTTAAGTCGAAGAAGGAAAGTCAGTTTTCATTTTATAAATGTCCTCCATTACTTCTTTCCAGTGTTTTACTCCTGGTGGCTCTTTTTTCAACCAGCACCTTGTGATAGCTTTCTTCATTAAGAAATGTCCTGTTCCGTAATCATCCCTTCTGGGATAAGGCTAAGGTATAGAACCCATGGGCCGCTTGGGACTTCACACAGAAGAAGCCACTCAATTAGCCGAACAGCATCAGACCAGAATTGCTGTCATTTATCACCTTACCAGAAGACGTTCAGGTGATTGGAAATAGTGTGACCACACTCCCTCCAACAATGATGGCCACCTTTAGCTTGTTTGCCTTTAATATTAGGTGTAATAAAATAATGAACTATGTGCTTCCATCTAAATTATCTCTTCTGGAGCTGGTAGAATTTGAATTTATTTATTTATTTATTTATTTATTTATTTATTTATTTATTTATT